AAAACAAGTTCAACTGACAAAATTGTTATGATACAGCGGCCTTGCTCACCTGAAGCTTGCTAATTGTTTTAAAGTAATTATGGTGAACTATTGTTCAAGCCTCAACTTTAAAAGCACTTTCCTTTTCAGAGCTGGTTCTTTGAAAACCCTTTTATTGTTTTCACACTCTGTTCATACAAACGGTAACATCTTGACACACATGCCTCTTCCATCTTAGGAGACCTCTCCCCTTTTTAAAAAAGCATGTGATCATCTATATATGGATGGTGACATCTTAAAAAATACATGTGTTCATTTGGTGTTTACCCCAGTCAGAATGGACCATGAGATTCTGAGAACTATAATCCCAAAAACTGACATTTTATGCCTTCCCCATACCAAAAACAACAACAACACAATTTCAAATGGAATATATTAAAGCAGGAAGTGAAAGTTTTAGAACAGTTTTGTGCCCCCACAAGCTTCCTTGTTACTAGACTAGAATGGTTGCCTGTTCTTGATCACACTCCGGTTCCGGTAACAACTGAGCAACAGACTCCTGTGAGATTTTGGGGGCTCCTGTGCCAGAATTGTGTAATCGGGGTCAAATGTCAGCCAGGCCTCTCCTGTGAGGTATGAATCGGCCTTCAGCACTTCATCAACTTGAAAAGAATGCATGTTACATAACGTTAGGGCTCTTGCATGCCTATCCCTTTGCTCTTATGTCGCTCAGACCCCATGTGAGGCTTTGCATCTAAGAAACTCTTGATATTATAATATCCAGTTGTATATCAGTGCTCTCCATGCTGAGGCCTTGATTGAAAGCTCTCTGATATCAATGATCCTGTTTCAACTCACATCAGTAGCTTTTAATAGGGGCAATGGAGACCGTTGTTAATTTCTTTTTGTGTCAGCTTTGCGTGGGATAGGCAATTTCGCTTTGGCTGAACAGGAAGGCTGTGAGCAGGCAGATGCATCAAGCTGTGTCACACACACACACACACACACACACGGCATTTACGGGCTGATGCCATTGTAATTTTTTTTCTTTTCATCTCCCCTCTTAATGTTATTTTGGGTCTTTGCCAAAAACCTGAGAGGAGAGTTGCTCCTACATGGAACCCTTGTTTCACACCCATTCATTTTTCTCACTTTGTGGCTTTCAGCTGAGCAAAGGCTTTCTGGGAGGGTGGCTGAGGGAGGGAAGATGTCTCAATTAGAGACCCAAATCGCTGTGAGCTTCTCTCTGGCCCTCTGTCTTTGTGCTTGTAGGAGATTTTTATTCACTTTGCAAAAAAGCACCAGTGTTTAGTCTCAGGCATTTTGCAAGCGCCACCAGACTCTCTGCATGTTTTCTTAGCAGCTTCTCACTTTCACCTCTGTCCTTCTGACTGACTGCTCTCTGCAGTGATAATCTGAAACCACACATTAATGGGATCTCTCTGTGTGGCATGTTTTTCCTTTAGAGGTTTTTAAATGGTAGCTCCAAACATCCAATCCGCCTTCAACACTTCCCTTCCCTCACCTTCAGGATTTTTATCGGGGTCACATCCCTTCTTTAACCATTGTAGACAGACAGAATGAAGTGATGTTGCAAATACATCATATATATCTTTAGTTCAACTTAAGCCCAAATTTGAGGCTTTCCAAAGATCCATCAAATTTGGGCTCAAGTTGAAATAAAGATGCATCCATCTACTCAAGGAATTGTCCCTCTTCTGCCCAAATGTTCTGCCTACACAAGTTTAAAATGCATCATCCAAGCCCAGGCTATGTGTTCTGTAGTCCTGTCAAGACAAAGAGAATCAGTAGGTTGCCTACATGGGTAATGATACTTCAGCTATCATTGCTCTGGCAGAGTTTTAATCTTAGATCTGCAGAGCAGGAAGGGACCCTCTGGATCATGGAGTCCAGCCCCGGCCAAGGAGGCCCAGTGGGGGGAATCCAACTCCTAACCTTTGGCTCCACAGCCAGAAACTTAAACCATTGAACTAGCCAGTCCCCCCTGCAGCTTTCTGCATGCTACTATACACCGGAAAGTTCCGCTTGACAGCCATGCCCATTCTGGCCATCAGATGACAACCTCCTTCTATAATTTTAGCAGAACCAGAGCTTGGAAAAGTTTTGTTTCTTTTTTTTGTTTGACTTTCAGCCCCAAAAACACCAACCAACCTGGTTTTCATCTTACTTTCTTTTAAACAAACAAGAGGTGAGTGGAGGCTAGTGACTTTGATTTGGAGGGTAGGGATCAGCACCTTGGATAGTTCCTGTTAAGTTCAGACTAAATCCTGAAGTAGACCAGCAGAGTCATCAGCCTCGGTTGAGTTGAATGTTTGGACTGTTATTTATTCTGTTTTTACCCATTGGTCTGAAGATGGTGCACATCCCCACTTCACTTTGCAAGTGGCTACTGAAATGAAAGGACTAGTTGTTGGTTTCTAAGAGAAATGAAGGTTCTTTCTCCACCATGCCCACTTTCTGTGCAAAAGATAAGCCTTCCAGAGATGCTGAGAGCTATGAATATAAGTTGAATTGCCTGTTCTTGTTTTTTAGAATGTGCTCCGTCAATGGCAAAAGGATGCCGCCTCTCACTATAGGCAGATCCATAAAGTCTGAAGAGGGGGAGGGGAGCAGAACAATCCTTTCAAATTTTAAATATATTTGTGAAGGGAAAGACCAACCTCGGCGGGTCTTTCTGGTGGAGCCGACTCTCTTAAAAACCTCAAAGAGGACACAGACCAGCCCTCCTGCTTCCCCAGGTCGAAAGCAAGACCAGGGTACCGACACCTTGAACTTAGAGGAAACCCCCCCAAAGGGGGTGGTATCCTGTGCGGTGGATACCAGTGACTTGGAAGAGACATTTAAAGGGTTAATGGCTGCTGAGCCAAATAAGGAAGATTTGGAGGGAAAGGAGAAGGTGGAGTTAAAGGAGGAAGAAGGGGGGTTGGGGGATATAACCGTGGGCAGGGGATATATCCCTGGTGGATGGGAAATGGTGTGGATCGAAGATCCTTGGACCGGATGCTGGGAACAGGTCCGTGTGCCCAAGGAGGAGGCAGAGCGGAGGCGTAGGAGAGGTCTAATGCAGAGGCCCTCCTATTGGGGAGAGACGGAAGCTAAAGCCTGGCGTAAAAAGATGCGAGAGGCAAAGGAGGCAAGTGAAAGGGAAAGGGTGGCCAAACAAGCATGGCATGTAGAAGAATTGAGGAAGATGGGCTGTTACCTGGTCCCTGGAGTGCCTCGCCAGGCGAAGGAGACCCCTCATGGGGGTGGATGGGAGACGAAGAAACCCTCCCTTTACTGAATCCCTTTTTGCAAGGTTATGACAACCCCGAGTTGGGGGAGGTCCCCGTTGGACCTTGGGAACTGGAACCTGTTGCAACGGTTATGAACAATACTGAAGTACCCTTACCTGAGTTGGACTCAGTGCAAGAGACTAAGCAACCACCACCTGTTAATGTTGACCTTCCAGTTGTTAAGGTTAATAAATCACAGTTAAAACCAGAACCAAAAGCGTCGACTCCTTTTTGGAACCCCTGGGAAGCCCCAAAGACTGAACCCTCACATATTAGAAAGTGGTTTTCAGGAGGACTGGAAGGTTCAGAGAAGGCCTAACTTTACAAAAAATTGAAAACAAAATGGAGCTTGTTTACTAGAACCCATATAGTCTGGTAGATTTACAAAGGCATAATTACTGAGTTCTGTAATGCTATCCCCTTACATGAAGTTTACTACTTTAGGGATTTGTTAATTATGCCTTGCAACCTGACTGCGAAGGGCAGTTGTCTCAACTGACCACAGCCTAGATCTGTGCATTAAGATCTTCTGCTGAGGACTCCCTTTAGTTGTGTGGTATGTATGTGTCAAGACGGGACAGAATTCCCTTGACTGTTGCACCCTGGCTGTGTACAGACAATCCTACAGATACTCAGATGGCTTTCCCATTGCAGTGCCTGTCTGAAATGTTTTTGTTCACCCAAGCATTTTAACTTACAAATGTTTTTCATGATTAATGGTTCTAATTGTTTGGTTCTTGGATGTGATGTTGATATTTGGTGTACTGTTTTGCCTCAGGACTTTAGCAGAAGAGGAGACCTGGCTTTTTAAATCTAAAAAATGTTTGATGAAAAACTGAAAAAAATAGACCCAGTCCAAACTCAGCAGTAGGATGAGTCAGATTGAGAGAGCAACATCTCAGTCTTACTGTTTCCTCTCTGGCGACCACAAGGCTTAGAAAAAGGCAATACAAGGATCAGCAGGTAGAGGCCTCGGGACCAAATCTGGGCCCTGATGGGAGTTGAGAGAAGATATTTCTAGAACGACCCATGCTGCTTCCTTTAAAGTAGCCGACTTATGAAACAGTTCTTTTGCCTGACCAGTTGGGTCAAAATAGGCAAGTTGTTGCACTTCAGGAGCCAGAGCAGTGTGTTCAAGTACAGAATTCCATACGTGTATACACACCTGCTTGGGAAAAGGCCTGGAAGCCAGTGCTGAAGGAAGGAAAAACCTACTATTGCCTTCCTTCTCCCTCTTCCCCTCGTCCCGTTTTTCTACTTTCCAGCTGCAGCTGGTTCCCCAGTGGTGTGCCATTTGAAGGCCTGGAATTGATCATATGATCAACTGGTTTTGATCTGACAATTTCACCCTGAGGGAAACTTAATATTGTCTTTCTAATGGACCCTATATCTGAATGTGCACATCCTGGATTTTTTTGTTTTAAGTACTGGAAGGCTTCCAAAATTGCTTTGGGGATGGACTGCAGATCCTTTTTCAATTCAGACCAATTGCGAAACCACTGTCCCTTGCTCTGCGCCAGCCTCACCCTCGAACCCTTTCCCTCCAGATGTGTCAGGTTATATTTCCCATTGTTCCCAGCCAGTATTGGGAACTATGAAAGTTAGCTCTGCCGGCCTTGCCATATACAAGTATGGTCAGTTTTCTCTGTGACTGGGATGTTCTTATGATTGTGGAACAATAAGCTAACCTCTTTTTCTCTCTTGTTGTCTGTCTTTTTTTCATAGGCAGTGAAGGTTCTGGAGAAACCATTCAGAAGGAAACATCCACCTGTGACATTTGTCAGTTTGGAGCAGAGTGTGATGAAGATGCAGAGGATGTTTGGTACATATACAGACAATTTAATATATTTTTGTTTGTGTTGGAAAACATGACTTTGGTGTAATAGGATACCCAGGCACACCCAGGTTACATTACAATGGCAATCTTGCAGTGGGGAAGGGAGGGAAAAACTGCTTTTTACCCCCCATGGCAAGGGATCCTTCTAAGGTGTGCAGCTGCATGCGCCTACATACCTCCGTCTCCCTCTGCACAGCCCCTTTGGTCTTGATTATGACAGAGCCATGCATACATGCAGGGGAGAAGGCATGCATGTGAGAGGTGGAGCCCTGCCCAGTGGGGCTGAAAATTAGAGGGCACATTGCCCATGCTCAGAAACTGGCTGGATAAATCAGTGGTTTAGGTATTTGGCTGTGGAACCAGAAGTTTGTAGTTCAGTTCCCCCCTCTGTGCTCCTGAAATAAGAGCCAGCCTGAGTAGCCTTGGGCAAGCTGCATAGTCCCAGGGCACCCTAGGATGAAGCGAATGGTCAACCACTTCTGAGTACTCTCTACCTGGAAAACCGTGAATTGACTTCACAGCATGTGATTATTAAAAGCTCAGGAATCATTAGGCTTTTCACAGGTAGAAATGCTAGGTGGCTATCATGAAGGGGAGACTGTCGATATTACATGTTGAAGGAAATGGTTTGTGTGAACCCACCCTTAGCAAATTAGACACTGAAGACCAGCGAGACTTTTGGTGCTTCCAGATTGAGAATATCCTGTGGTCAAGCAGGCATGAAACTTATAAATAAATTATAAATATGAAACACACAGAGAAAGATTTCATGTAAATGCAGCTTAGTTATCATATTTATTAGCATGCAACCCTGTCCTCTTTCTAACATAAAGTTATATATACAGTATATGTGTGTGGACATATATAGAGAGATTACTGAGTTGCCTTTATCTGACTGCAACCTTACGGAGTCAAAGTAGAGCAGACCCATTTCATCCTGTTCAGCGGTGACTTCGGGGCCATCCCACCCACCTGGCCTTCCCATCCGTAGTCTCTGCCAGCCTAGGGGCAGAAGCGTGCCTAGTGCTTAGCAGCTCTTGTTGATCAACAGCATATGTTCAAGGCAAAAGTTTACAGAGCTCAAAAAGAAGCAGCTTTTATGATTGCCCGAATACCTTCTGAGAGTCGTCAGATGTATGCATTGGGGTGAGCTTTAGGTAACCAAAGCCAAGTGGGAGAGGTGGGCTTTTTCTTTTAACGATCAAACAAATGAGATTACAGGGGGTAAAGTATCTTTGGTTAAAGTAGGTATATCAGAACCCATTTCCAAGGTGTTCCATACTAGGTGAACAGCTGTGTTTGCCAACAGAAAGAACTTACGGTTATAGAAGAACTTAAAAATGATAGGGTTGTGCTGATGGAGGTAGGTGGGTGGATGAGTGGGTGGATGTATCTTAGGAAGCACACCCAGAACTGTACATTTTTCTGGACATTATTGTGATGTTCAAACTTTGCCTAAAGAAAAAAACCCAGTTTGCTCTATGCCAGCGCTTAAACCCCTTACAGCAGGAAATTTATGCTGATTTCTGATTCCACTCCTTTGAAGCATCCAAGGTTCTTACAAGCTGCATAACTCTGGGAGGTGAAGTCTTCCTTCTTTATCGGCAAGTCAGCTTTTCTGCAGGGAGAGTTCTTGGCATGCAGTCCTAGGCATGCTGGCTCAGAAATAAATGCCATTGAGTTCATTTAACTTGCCCATTTCCAAGGGAGCAGGGAAGGTTAATTTCTAGGGAAGATGCTCTGAAACTACATAGTAAGGCAGCAAATCTGATTTGAGCGCTACGACTGCTAAAACACCCATTTGAAGTCAAGAAATTTGATCAATTTCTGCTTTACAATTGTACATTTTGTATACTTTTTTTGCTGTAGATGTTTCCCCTACAAATGAATATTAATTTTTAATCTTTGAAACTAACTGTTTATTTCCTGTGGAAGCAAGGAAATTATAGATCTAAGCAGTTAAGGTGTGTTTGGTAACTTTGCTTTAAATACATGTCAGAATTTCAATACACTTCAAGATCTGACCATGAAAACAGCCATCTCCCCACCCCTGCCACCACAAAGATTTACAAAGCAGCTTGTTTAGCTAAAACAGTGTTTAAAGGGTTTTTTTAAAAAAGTGCTAGGGTTCAAGGCAAATCCCAGATACATAAAAATAGGTGCCATTCTATTCTTGCATCTGTAAGCAGCCAGCTCTCCTAAGAGAATGTTGGGGCTCGGAATAGAGAGGTTCCAGAGTCCAGTGTAACCCTATTTAAGTTGAGAAGAGTCCTTTTCTCAACTAGGCTGTCACACCTGCCACTCTTTTCCCAAGTCTATTCCCATTTAACAATTAACTGAGAAAACCAAAGATAAAATCATGAGTCTCAGAGTCTGCCAAGACCAGCAAAACTCAGGTAGTTAATTGGACTCAGCAGCATATTTGTGGCCTAAATAGAATTAAGTAATTAAGCAGGTGGTCTGCTCAATAGACCAAACATAAGTTTTTAAGTATTATTGTTTTATTAGAAAAATAAAGTATTTGAGATATTCAATTTGTTGCAAAGCATAGCATTCCATATACATTTCCATCTGCTAAGATAGTTAGAAATCTAGCAAATTCCAGCTATAAAATTTTTCTTCACTTCTTATCTGTTATAATTTATCTTGTTCTCTTGCCATCTTTGAGAAATTTTTTCTTTCTTTTTTTCTAATTATGTTTATATGTTATGTTGTAAGCCGCCTAGAGTGTTCGCGACAAACAGATAGGCGGGGTATAAATAAATAAATAAATAAACTAACTAACTAACTAACTAGCTAACTAACTAACTAACTAACTACTAGCTAGAAAGGTGGGTAAGGCTGAGCCCCCCTTTCTCTATTCTCTGCTATGAACTACATCCTAGCAATAGCAATGGGAACTCCATAGTCCATTTAAAAATCGATAATCCAAGGTAAAATCCAAAAATCAAAAAGGGTTTCAAAAAGGTCTCCCTCTGTCTGCCACCATCCTGTCATTTTCTTCACAAGCTGGAACCACCTTCTTCTTCACTCTCCACTGACGTCAACCAATCAGGGCGAAGGACTGCTCCTCTCTCTCCACCTCCTTTTCTCATGGGATTGCAGGCGTTGTTGACATTCTTTCTCGAGGGTATGTCTTTGGTCCTTATCGTCTCTGGCCAAGGCTGCTACATGGAAAATTCTAACTACCTCTAAGAGAAAACAGCTTCTCGAAGCATCTAGTTACATGCCACACAGACTAGGATGGATTCCTTCTACTCCATTCCATGACTACAAATCCCATTTAGAAATTACATTCTAGCTTCAATAACTTAAACCATGACTGTGTCCTCATGCTGTCTTCTCTCTTAAGGACTGTAAAGCCACTGGTTCAATGTTGGATTCTCCAGTGTGCCAGCCTGCGTAGCCTTGGACAAGCTGTACAGTCCCAGGAGCATGGTAGATGTCCTCTGAGTACTGTATACCTAGGGAACCCTGGAAATAGTCACCCTAAGTTAAAACTGACTGGATAGCACACAGTTATTATTAAGGATTACAATCAAACTCTTAGGGAATACTCTGAAGAAGAAGCTGCATCTAGAACAGAATGCATTGCTCTTGTTACTGACTGCGGTTCTTGATCATGCCCATATTACAACTGCGCTAATAAAAATGCAGGACAAGTTCAATGGGATGGCCGTGTACCCAAAACGTTGTACAACACAGAGCCAGGTTACCTTATGGAGCATTTCCCCTATGCCAGCACAGGCCATTTCAGTCTTCAAGGGAGACACAGGTGTGCCTGCTGGGGTCTGCACATACCCACTTGCTGGCAACATGAAGATAGGCCTTTTTTGTGGAATGATATCTCTGCTGTGCTAGGTCAGAATTCTACACTTTTAGGTATTTATTGATTGGTGGTTTTAAAAATTATTTTGTTTTTACTTTGGCTCACTCTGGACATTCGTGAGTCAAAATATTGGCTCAAAGTAATACTGTTCTACTGGGTTTTTAAACTTTATACAGTATATTTATTTGTTTATGTGGTACACACACAATGAGCATAAACCCCTCAATTTCTCTCATGAGTCTGAAGTCCTGGCAGGAGGGAAAAACTGTCCTATTAGACCTTATGAGCCTGGGAGCTGCTTTCCTGTGATCTGGTCCTTGACCAGCTTGGCCATTTTCACATCACCAAGGAGGAGTACAAAAGTGACACTGGTTTGCATAATATTTATTGGGCTGATTTATACGTATGGAGAGCCAGTGTGGTGTAATGGTATGAGTGTTGCCACCAGCTCCTGCCCCCACTGGTGGCACCAACAGCTGCAGAGTGCCCTGGGCAAGAACTTCATTGACTCCAGGTTGCTAGTGTAACCGGAGATAGTCTTCATTTATTCCCCAAGCCACTCCCTCCTCCATTTTCCTCAGGTTCCTCCCAACAGATTAGTGTCCTCCCTCCTCCATGCTTTCCAGGTGCCTGAGAGCTGACAGCTTCTCTGAGCTCCCAAGGGCTGTGGGGCAAGTGCAGATGTTCTAGGCAGGGCACTGGTGGTAACTCCCTCAGGAGTAGATCGAATGTCAGACTAGGACTCAGGAGGCCTGGGTTCAGATTCCCCACTTGGCCAAGGAAACTCACCTTGGGGGTAGCCATGGCAAACTGACTCCTTGAATATCTCAGGCACTTCTAAAACCCCATCTATGGATGAAAAATCGAGAATGATTGTAATAATTTAAATAGAACCTACCACAGTGACCAGCTGCTTTGTGTGACTCTCCTGTGGATGGGCTGCTTCAACGTCTCTGTCTCCACCTTTGGTTCTTCCTCTTTAAACAAGGCCTGGACTAAATAGCCCAGAACTGACCTCCTTAAGATGGGACATGTAGGCACCCTAGATCTCACATGGCTTTTCAGTTAGGCCATGTGGCCTTCTCCCAGCTCCTGGTATGACAGAGTGAAAGAGAATGATGCCAAGAAGCCTTGCATCCACCCTGGAAGGGCACAG